AATACAAAAATAACCCGCACAAAAAAGAGAGAAGTTTCGACGATGTTTGGGTCCACTTGGACCCCATTTACAAAGTCACACAAACCCAAAAGTGGACAGGACGGCTTTTAAAAAGGGCAGGAAAGGGGGTGGTGTATAGGTAGTAGTAAAGAAGGGTATTTAAAATACGACAAATGAAATTAAGAAAAATGCCACACCCGGGCATCCCCATCGTAGACGTTTCCCCTCCACCAGCCACTGGATGGCAAAAACGTCCAAAACAAAGACCCCCAATGCCGCACATTGTCTTAATTTCATCAGTAGTAGTGTAGTAGAAGTGAAGAGGTTTAAGGGGTAGTGGTAGAAGTGGTAAATAAGGAGGAGGGCCGTCCAAAAAAAAGGGGGAGCACGCAAAGAGCTAGGGGCCCACAAGGGAGGCACACACAGAGGTGCATAAAAGGGGGAAGTGGTGAAAAAAATTGAAAAAGGGAACAGAAACCGAGACAAAAGAAGAAATAAAAACCCAGGGGAGAAAAAGAAAGAGGAAAGGGAGGAGGGAAGAAGAAAAAGAAAAGGAAAATGAGGAGTCGGTTAAGTCAGGGTTTTTTTCTAATTTTGGAGCATTTTAAAATGTAGTGGGAGAGGAAGGCATCTCAGAGACAAAGCCGGGATAAGATTGTACAAGGAAAGTTGTTATTAGAGAGGTTTCAACTAGACGGCGACTGTTTGAGTTGGGGGTGGGAAGACAGTTTTAGCGCCAGTCAAAAAGGGTGGGTATGATCTCTGACAACAGAAAAGGCATTGTTATTGTCGGCAAAGCCCAACCTCCACTATATACCTCTTTATTCTACTCCTTTTTTACTGCGAAAATAAGACACATGTGCGGGGTCTGGGTGTCTTTTTTGTGGACGTTTCCCATCCAGTGGTGGCTGGAGGCAAACGTCTACGATGGGGATCCCGGGGGTTGCCATGTGTCTTAATTTCATCTTGCGGTATTATATACCATTTTTGTACTAAATACCCACTATACCACCACCCTTCCGCCCATATATAGCCGTCCAAATCCCCTTCTGGTTATGGACTTTGTAAATGGTCCAAATCGGACCAAAACTCGTCGACTTCTCTCTTTTATGTGCGGGGTTTTTTGTTAACGTTCCAGTCACGGTATTGTGCCTTTTTTTTTTAAATTTAAAAATGTTTTAAAGAACTATATTTTAACCAATCTGAGAACCTGCTAGTAAAACAAGTATTATCCAGATCTTACTGTTAACATGTAAATATACATTAAAGTATTATTATTATTGTTGCTCATGAGGAAACACTAAACTGCAATGGTCATTCAGCACTTGAAAGGGTAGGGAGCAATCAGGTTTGCTCCGAGGAAAGGAAAATAGCTCCAATTTTCTTAGATCAAGCCTTTCACCACCATCAAGACAGTGGAACCTTGATTTTCGTGATTAATTCGTTCCAGAGAGTTTGATGAAAACCAAACTGTATGAAAACCGAAGCAATATTTCCCAAAAGAAATAATGTAAATCCAATTAATCCGTTCCAGACACCCAAAAATATTAACAAAAAATACATTTTATAGAGAATAACTACAGTGGACCCTTGCCTAACAAACGCATCTGCATAACAAATCCGCCTAGCGATACATTTTAACGCAAAAATTTTGCCTCGGCTAGTGCTAAAAAACTCGCCCAACGCGATTCGTTTTGTTCGAGACGCGTCCACGTGTGGCCTAAGCGCGACCTCACTTGTCCCGTGGGTGCCAGTGTTTACAAGCCAGCCACCTCGGTTGCATCCAAACATACAATTGGAACATTTCATATTATCACAGCATTTTTAGTGATTGCACGTGCAAAATAAGTCACCATGGGCCCCAAGAAAGCTTCTAGTGCCAACCCTGTGATAAAAAGGGTGAGAATTAGTATGGAAATTAGGAAAGATTTTGAAGGGTTTGGGGCTAACCCTGAGATGCCTATGCCAGTTGTGGAATCCATTGTGCCTACTTCAAAGATTAAGGAAATGTGTGCAAAGTGGGTTGAACTGCAAACCTTTATGGATGAAAATCACCCTAACACAGCTATTGCAAGCCATGCTGGTGACTATTACAATGGCAATGTTATGGCCCATTTTAGACAAATCTTAGAGGAACAGGAGGTACAGAGCTCTATGGACAGATATGTTGTGCGACAGAGGTCCAATGACTCTCAAGCTGATCCTAGTGGCATTAAAAGAAGGGAAATAACCCTGGAAAAGGACTTGACACCTCAAGTCCTAATGGAAGGGGATTCCCTTTCTAAACATTAACACCAGCCACACTCTCCCCTCCTCCCATCCCATCAATCATCACCAGATCTTCAATAAAGGTAAGTGTCATGTAATTGTACATGTCTTCTTCAGTTTGTGTGTATTAAAATTAATATTTCATGTGGTAAAAATTGTTTTTTTTCATACTTTGGGGTGTCAGGAACGGATTAATTTGATTTCCATTATTTCTTATGGGGAAAATTAATTCGGCTAACGATAATTTCGCCTAACGTTGAGCTCTCAGGAACGGGTTAATATCATTAGGTGAGGGTCTAATGTATATGTAGTTTTACATACAGAAAGCAATGAAAAATAAATATAAATGACTAATGAAATGGATAAATGAAGGGAGAGGGAGGAGGAGGTTATAGTTTGGAAGGGGAATCCCCTTCCATAAGGACTTCAGGTATCAAGTCCCTTTCTGGGGTTACTTCCATTCTTTGTCTTTTACTGGCACTAGGACCAGCTTGAGATTCACTGGACCCCTGTTGCACAAAAAATCTGTTCAGAGAGGTCTGTTTCTGGCATCTCTAAGATTTGCCTAAAATGGGACAAGGCACTGTCATTGAACATGTTGCAGACACGGCTTGCAGCAGCTTTGTTAGGGTGATATTTCTCCACAAAACTTTGCAACTCATTCCACTTTGCACACATGCCCTTAATCACTGGAGAAGGCACATTCTCACAATGCTCACTCAATGAGAAACAAAACCAGACTGAGTCAGAACGTGTGGGATGCTTTGTGTGGGCACGGGCAGGGGGACGCGTTTGGTACGGCGGACCATCATCAACTCTACAAAAACCAAGGGGATGTACAAAAACTGGGACAAAATTTCAACAAAAAAAATCGTCAAAACCGAATCCTACGAAAACCTGGGCATACGAAAACTGAGGTTTCACTGTACTTAATTAAAAATAGCAAGTGATCACTGACTGGTTCACAGGACATATGTATCAGATGGAAGACCTGAAATGACTTGTTGAGATTTCTATAACCATTATTGTGCAGGGTGAAAAATGGTTACCTAACTGACAGAAATATGTGTATCACCCACAACACAAGTCAATTCATGCCATTAAGAAAATGCATTTACCTAACTCATATGAAACTGATCATTGATGCACATTTCCATAGGCCTTTTTTTTTCCTGCTTACTCGTATGTGTGGCTATGAGGTGGCATAACTGACTTTTTTTTTTTTTATACTCCTGCAGCCTATCCTGTAACCAGGTAAGTTATATGTAATTCAGGTTAAAAACACTGACATTGTTTTTGTGTGTGTTTTAAATATCTACACTGCTTGCATTACCAACAGATTATTATTATTTTTTCTGAGGAATTATAGGGAAATCCCAATTTAAGTTGAGCACATTAATATAGGCAAAATATAAGATTAATTATTTTTATATTTAAAAAACTCCTATAATGAATAAGATATATGTATAATGCTTGGGTATTCTCAATAATGATACCCAGGTGTCGCACATGTCTTATTCTTCAATTTGTTGGTATTATATGTAAAACCTTTGATCTAAAGATAAAAATAAAAAAATTAATGTGGGTCATTTAAAACCTAAATTAATTTATTTATAAATGGTTTTACACTACAATATAAATTCTGTTTACAATGGTTGCATGAAGAACACAAGTGTTATAGACACTGATTGGAGATAATTATGATGGGGATTAAACCAAGTTATGGTGCTTCATAGCTCTGTGGCAGAATCTGGCTTTCAACCAAAAGGATTCAGGTTGAATCCTAGGCATGGTGAGTTGTATGGGCAGGTCTCCCAACACCTGCTGCCTGTTACCTAGCAGCAAACAGAGTTCGTTGGCTATTGTGGATGGCATCTTTAAGGAAGAACTGAGAGAGATCCCAATGAAATAAGCAAAATTGGCTTGGGCTAGTCTGGGTTATTATACCAAGACTTCAGGAAACCAATCCATATTATTATTGTTATTATATTCAAATTAAGCAATAAACCCACATGGGTCACATAATGCTACTTCTAATCCATATACGTACAGTATTCTTCTAGGATAATCTATCGAAATCAGTGTGAGTTCTTTCTATAAAATAAGTTTTTATTTAGGCTTTGCATACATATGATGATTTTACAATGGTCTTAATGGCATACAGATGTTAGGGGCACATAAAATTTACAATACACAGATTTAATCTGAGATAACCCAATGAAGTCATCTGAAAAGATAGTAAGAATCCTAAGCCATAATAGGCGGGTCATTCTCGAAGGTTTACTTATTGTTGTCAATGGTCCATGAGAGTTCAGTCTCATGATGACATTCTTAAGTAATCAGGTTTGATCACAAGGGAAGGGTTAATCTAATTCTTTGGATCAAGAGCCTTCACCAGCACTAAAGATTTTATTTAGAATAATTCAGAGGGTTGTAACCCAGAATAATCCAATGAAGAAATGGCCAATGGACTGTGTGATTTATTTCCATTGGGGTCGCATCCTGGAGGACCCAAACCAGTTACCTAACATCCAGGTACCTACTTACTGCCATATGAACGGGGGAAGAAGAGGTAAAGAAACATGCCCAACATTTCCACTCGTTTAGGGAAGCTTTAAGGGATTTCAACTTTATTAATTACTAGTTTTATTTTATCATTATTATTATAATCATAACCAAGCGCTAAACCCGTAAGGGTCATACAGCAATTACTAGGTATAGAGTTAGCAGGCACGGTATAAGGAATATAAATAGTAGTACCGACCATGGGGAGAACCATGGAGGTCATATTGCTGGAGACGGTAGACAGTAAATTCAGCAGCGGCATCTACTGGCACCGGGGACATGAGGATGAGAAGAGGCAGTGCCACCACCAGGTAGTAGGGCACGCTGCTCCGGAGCATCTCCACCAGCTCCTGGTCAGACCACATCCTTCTTAAGTACTACAAAAAAAATGCCAAAATTCAAATTTAGTCCTGATCGCCACTTTAAATCAGGAGAAAAATTAAGGCACCAATGCTCTACACCGTGCAGACGAAAACATAGACACAGTGAATGTTGTGGCTGGTGGCCGACTGTTGAAACAAAAGAGCATAGCTTTTGATGCTAAATGCAAGTGTGCTTGAAATGAAAAACTCACACTGAAATGCGTTCTTAATGCAAACTTTCCTACTTATTTGTGGTATCAGATTTTATTTCGGATATTGAGAGATGTTATCACAGGATGAACATGGTCTTCTACAGAATGTTCCACGCGGTAGATGCTGAGAGTCATTTGGAACTATTACATCGGTGTACACATTACTCGTATCTGGGCATTTTTTGTTTTGAAGAATAAAAAAAAACTATATCGAGGTTCTGTGCCCGGTCACATTTATTATTGTCTATTGCAAGTCATATTTCCACTCATCTTACTACATTTTATGAATTGACTACAAATGTTATGGTTCCTTTTGTCTGTGGTATTTGTAAGTTACTCTGATTTTTTAATGGGTATAAGATAAATTATTTGACTTCATTAGGCTATCTTAAGTTACATAATGTATGGCTAATATTTCCGGCCGGTTCTGAACTCGGCCATTATCTCTTTTAATACAGTCAAGCTGGATATCCATACCTTGCAAAAATAATTACCGTGCAAATAAATATTCTGGATGATAGCCATAATAATGCCATCATGCATGTCCCCTTCCCTGGTGCTGCTTATCCCCTAAGGATTTAGCGCATCCCACTGAATATAAACTCACATACGCTAGAATGCACCCAGGAAGAACCTACCTGGAGGATGTTCCGGGGGTCAACGCCCCCGCGGCCCCGGTCCATGACCAGGCCGCGTAGTGGATCAGGGCCTGCTGGCAGCACGTAGACCGACGTACGAACCACAGCCAGACTGGTAAGTAAGTAAGTAAGTAAGTTTATTCAGGTAAACACAAATACAGTTACATAGAATTATCATACATAGCAGCATATGTGTAGGGAACCTAGGATAACCCAAAAAAGTCAGGTACTTACTTTTGGTGCCTGTCCAGCTCCCTCTTGAAGACAGCCAGGAGTCTAGGTTAGGCTAGGTAAGGTTTGTCAGGAAACAGGACAAGTGTTTCCTGGCGCGGGTTTTAATCAGATGATGACCCACCGTTGGAGCTTTTGATCATCTGACTGAGGCCTTCTATTGGCTTACCGGTCCACCCCTTTAAAAATTATGGGTATATTTAAAGCCATTTAGTAGCCAGGAATCTATTGGTAATCCCCCTTATGTATACTGGGAGGCAGTTGAATAATCTTGGGCCCCTGACACTTAATGAATTATCTCTTAATGTATGAGGCCTGGCCACAGACCGGGCCACGGGGGCGTTGACCCCCGGAACTCCCTCCAGGTAAACTCGTGGCACCCCAGCTTTTTTATCGCTCGTGTTCCAAGAAGTACAGGTCAAGGAACTTCAACAATTCCAAACAATTGAGGTGCTTTATTGTACTTATACGTGCAGTGAAAGTTCTCTGTATATTTTCCAGGTTTGCAATTTCGCCTGCCTTCAAAGGGGCCATTAGTGAATACCTGGAGAGGGTTTCGGGGGCCAGCGCCCCTGCGGCCTGGTCTGTGACCAGACCTCATGGTAGATCAGGGCCAGATCAACCAGGCTTTTTCTGTTGGTCGCACGTAAACCGACGTACGAACCACAGCCCGGCTGATCAGGTACTGTCTTTTGGTGTAAAGCAATATTCCAGCCTAGAGAGAATAAGCGATTTAAAAAGAATCATTGGCCTGGCGTCCCTAGTTTTGAATGTTCTCATTATCCATCCTATCATTTTCTTAACAATGCAGTAGAGACGTTGTTGTGATCTTTGAAAGTGAGATTCTCTGATATAATCACTCCCAGGACCTTCACATTAATTTTGTCGCTCTAATGTGGCTGGAATTCGTTTTACATTCTGATTCAGTTTTTATTTCCTCGAGTTTTCTATAGGGCAGTAATTGAAATTTGTCTTCATTGACCTTCATATTATTTTCCGAGGCCTGGCTGAGCTAATATCTTAGAGCTAGGCTTTAAATAAAATATTACAAGGACCCCAATGGAATTTTTTTTTTATTTTTATTTAAGGACACAGTATACAATCTACATGTTGTTATACATAAAACTTAACAAAAAAACCTCAACACTGAGAAAAAACAAGCCTAACTAGGAATGAAACAGAAGAACCTACACCTGAGCATTCCTTAACAAAAAAAGCTTCATAACAAAACCTGTTACACTTATGCATATTTTGTACAAAACTTTATATACAAAACATTAAGTATACACCAAAACATTTCTCATACAATTATTTTGTATAGTAACATATTATGTACATAGATTCTCGAAAACTAAAACCTCCTGACAATGTTTTCGAGGAGACTAAATCGTACTCCCCACACCCCATATAACCCAAATACACATCATATTGAACTTTGCATACTCTAGAATAAATGATAAATAAGAAAAAATTTTCTAAGATGTGTGCCTCCTCCCATCACCCACCAGGTACACAGTATGAACAGGTGAAATATACCCTTAATCCGTGTGTATGTTCCTACCTCATTAACTTCCCAACAGGAAGGAATACTGAATAGGGCAATGTACAATGCCCACTCTTGTACACAGAACATCTAACATTGACAAAGTTAAATATACAGGAAATACATGAGCCTGATGCACGCAGGCACCTCGCCCGTACTGCAGTTGTTAAATAGGATAGGAATCCTAACAATAGTCTCTGGGGCAACAAAAACAAACCCCGCATCTTTTACAACACAAATAATTCTTCGCTCATTATTTCCTAAAAAATTTTGTTTGGTTCGTCTTTGAAAAGTATCGAAAGGACGCCTTGGCAAACCCACAGAATCAAGAATATCTTACCAAAAACCTCCACCTCTCTCACAGAAGCCCCATTTCAATAACCGATCACCCCACTCACACACACAGACTCTCACACAGACACGCACACAGACACACACCACACACACACACCACACGCAACAACACACACACTCAACACACACACTCACACACCACACTCAACACACACATACACACCACACCACACACACACAACACACACAACACACACACACACACACACACACACACACAAAGGCCTTCAACAGACAGGCCTTACATCATGTTATCTCACATACACCACTGGAGCATCCACCATCTCTTCTCTTCCTTACTACAAATCATCTCCAAGTACTCATCACTCACCTCCGGAAGCCAACCCCTTCCTACCTTTCCCCGGCACCAACTGTAGTAGTCGTGCCACAGTCAGTCCCGATAACCTCCGGAAAAAGAGCACCCACTGACCCCCATATAAGCTCCTATTCCTACCACACGACCTATAAAAACTCGCCGCTAAGGCCTTGATCCTGACATTATCCCCCACCTCCCTCATTTCCCCAGAAAACATACAAAAAATCAACCATTATATACCTTAACACCCTCGCTCCTCATTAGACACTCCTCCCACGTTTAAAAGTAAAGCCCTAAGGACCCCCACCCTTCCCCCTTCCATTAATCCAAAAACACCCCTCAACCACACCCTTACATTTCCAAAAAAGGACAAAAGTACACCACATGGAAGCATTTTCCACGTCGCCACAATGCACACACGAAGCATCACTCACATATCCCATCTGCCTCAACACCTGTTTTGACACCAATGTCCCCATGAGGAATCTGTAGACCACTTCTCTCACCCTTGCTGGCATTCTTAGCTTTCGAAATTCCTCCCATATTACCCTCCAATTATATGTGGGGAAGACAGCCACCCCTTGCAGCGTCTCCCGATGATACTCTACTCCCACCAGCCTCCCTATTCGCAAATGACGCACATCGCGCACTCTTAACATATACTTCAACATATCCTCACACACCTCCAGGTCCCTCCCACTCCACCAACAACGTAAGTCCCGCATCACCTCCCCCACACGCCCCCCCCAGACCCCCCCCGCACTGAGGTATCTCACCTTGACGTATATTGCCCTCACCCTGGGCCCCAATGCCAACAAACCCAATCCCCCCTGACGCACCCCAGTCATTACTACATCACGTCCCAACCACGCCCTCCCATAACCCCATATATACCTTAATGCCCTCCTCTGTATGTCTGTTACATCACAATTTCTCAAGTGATATACTGCCGCCGCTCCCCAAACCTTACTGTATACCAACGAATTCACAATCACAGCCCTTTGGTGCAACGTAACATCTCTGGCCCGAAGGCCACGTAGCCTACCCACTGCCCTGTCCCTAACTGCCTCTGAATTAATCTTTCTACTTTCCTGCCTGTCCACTGTGTACCAAATCCCACAAATCTTAATCTGTTCTACTACATTCCATCCAAACCCCTGGCCCAATCTCCCGCCTACCCAGGTGCCCACCTCTAACAACATCGACTTGCTTTTGTTTACCCTCATTCCTGTTACGGCCCCAAAACCTTCTCGATGACTCTACCCACCCTTGAAAAATCCTCCCTTCCACTAAGTAAGATCGTCGTATCATCAACGTAACCCACAACCCCCCTGTCATTCCCCTCAACCCTCTCCCCACACAACTCTCGGTCTACAAACTCTTAAAATGGGTTCTGAACGCAAGCAAATAATAGCTGTGAAAGTGGGCAACCCTGCCGCAAACCCCTCTCCATACGAATCCCAGAACCCAACCTACCGTTCACCTGCACATGCATGATCGCCTCCGCATACAATGCATCCACCCACCCTACCACCCTGACACCAAAACCCAAATCACACAAACTCTCACGCAAAAACACCCTGTCCACACAATCATACGCATTCTCCCCATCAACCCCTAGAACCCCCCCCTCCACAGCCCTCTAAGGAAACCCTTATGCGCCCATGTCCATCCCGCATACTCCTCCCTGGAATCCCAAACTGACCTCTGTGTAAAAGCGCTCCGAGAACTGCCTTCATTCTATTCCCTAGAATCTTTGCGAATACCTTATAGTCTGCGCACATTAAGGAAATTGCCCGGAAAGCACTCAGTGCCCGTGCCCCTTCCTTCTTTGGTA